GGCACCCCCCCCGCCTCTGAGGGGCCCGGACTCAAGAGTCTCGCATAGGCCGGATCCTCCTGCCAACATGTGGACGCCAAGCGGCACTCGGCCACTTGCAGCGAAGCATAAGAGTCGGTGTCGATGTGAAGAGGCGTCAGAGGTTGGTGCTGAGCTGATGGAAGAAAAGGTATGGCTGTGTGTGTGTTCAGTGTGTGATGCATGTGTGATGTGTGTATGCGCGGTGTGCGTATGATGTGTGTGTGGGGTACATTGTGAGTATGTGTGATGCGGTGAGACGGGCAGGATAAGGGCACAATACGATGTGGAAAACGGGAATTGGGATGGCAGAAGGCGGAGGGGTTTTGGCAAACAGACCCTAAAACGGTTGTCTTTGGTTTAATCTTATTTTATAAATTAGGTTGTGTTGTCAGAGCATCTAATCATCGACTTGGTACATTCCAGGCGTTTTGCCCACATCGTCATTAAAAAGCAGAAACCCAACCTATTGGACAACTTTATACGTAATGAATGTAACCGATGTTCAATGAATTTTTTAACATAAAATTGTTTTCGATACTTTTAGTTGGTATGAAAATTTTCTTATAAATATATTAATAGGTCATTCTAGCCAGAATACAGAGGCGCATTTCTGTTGTATTTACGAGGTGCTTCTCTTGAGATAACATTGTGTTTGTGTGAAAAAGTTTATTATGATTAGGTACGTAAGTCGAACACAAAGAATATATGGGTTTAGACTAGCCTCCTCTGATAAAAGCTTCATGTTGACTATCATTTCATATGAAAGGGTATGTGATGGAGTGATTCATAGGTCGATCTCAACCGAATACTAAGCCTGATACCCATTATACATGGAAATAGCAACTGGATGTCGAAAATTCGCATGAGATTAAGTTGTTAAGATTATTTTCACTCCGTATAAAATTTGGCGTGCTGAAGATACCCGTGGATAGATCCCAGTAGAAGACGACGCTTGAATAACATTGGATGAAAGAAGAGAATCTAGATTTAGATAAGTCTCATAACATAAAACTGTTGTTGTGTCCTTCATTTTACGTGAAAGTGTGTGATAAAGGGTCTCGTAAGTCGATCTGTCCCAAATGCAATGATTCTTTCTCATTGCAGATACGAAGAACAAATGGGTTTCGATCATACTCCCGAGGTTACATTGTCTTAGTGACCTTCATTTTGTGGGACGATGTGTGTGATGTAGAGCGGGTAAGGCTTTTAACGTTTCTCTGAATCTGTTCGTCATCTTTGTGATGATCATTTGATGAAGGTCTACAACAACGAATGATTGTGATACTTCGCATTGTTCTGTATTGGCATATCAGCGGATCCAATTTCCTCGTAACTCACCGCTTAAAAGGTATGCCCTTTTGAGCCGAGTTCATAACTTTGGTATATGCAAGGGATGGATTTCACTCGGCTCCTTGGCACTTTGTAGCCCGGCTTGAAGAATAATAAATCGTTATAAACATAAAAAGCTCACTGTTCGACGCCGTACATGAACATGACTTTTTTATGGCAAACTAATCCGGACAAGATGAGTTGTTTGGGGTCGCTTTGACAATCTGACCAATTAATAAAAACACGGAAAATGCCTCTAAGGTACAGAAAAAAGCGACGACGACCAAAATAGATGGTGCACGGAACCGGCTTACCAGGACTCGCCTCAACGACGGTCTGCCTGTGACGAGGGTGTGTAGACGAGTCTTCAACAGATGAGGCGGTGACACGAAAGGATGCGGTTGTTGTCGAGGAGGCGGACGACGAGAGGGCCGGCTCCTCAAAGTCCGTTTCGCTGAGAGCGATGCACTCAGGGCCTGAGGCCATCGCCTCGTGGCAGACTCCAGCCACGTCGTAGAGGCTCTTGACCAGCTCCCCTCGAGCATGACTCGAGAGTTCGGAGACTTCTGAAACAGGCAACATTATCTGATTTATGGTAGACATTTGGGGCGATAATAGACGAAATGCTCAATAGAACCTACATTCCGAATGAGAATGATTCGAATGAGTGAGTCGACATTGTTTATTTCAGTTGTCGTCAGACGCGATTATTGAAGTCACGAGACATAATGATCATTTCGAGACATGCCAAATTAGTTTATTGTAATTGCAATTGTAATTGTCTTTTATGACAAATAATATTTTCGTATTAGAGTAGAGTTTCGAGACTACCAGTAAATCAGTAATATAAGATGTATTTACCCCATTTCGTGTAAAGTGATGAAGGACTGGAAGTAGAATTTTCCCACAATGATATGAGTTGAGCTAACGTTTACACTAAATTTCACATAGCCTTGCTTTCCCAAAAGTTCTTCTCATCCAAGGTGGAGTGCAGATGAGAACAAATTTTAGGAAAGCAAGACTATGTGAAATTCGATGGAAACGTCAGCTCAACTTATATCATTGTGGGAAAATTATACTACCAGTCCTTCATCACCTTACACGAATTAAGGTGAATACATTTCATATTAGATATTCATTCTTTAAATATGAATTTGGAGAATCATAGCCTTACTGAAAAGCCACGTTTACCCTATCTTCGTTTGTTAGTAAGTTTAGAGGCTACCAGTAGATGATATGTCTTAAATGTATTAACTCTATTTCCTTTAAATCAGTTAGATTTTCCCCTGATCTGATTTGTAGGTATCACGTTTACATTACATTTTGACATAGTTTTCGTTCCCCAAAGTTATTCTCATCCTGCCTTTACTGCACTGCAGTTTTCGTCTCGCCTGAACTGATCTCATCAGCTCTCCGAGTTGGACTCAAACCCGGTTATTGTAACGTGTGTCGAGACTATAAACTGCACTATCGCAACCTGGGTTTGAGTCCCACTGGCGGGCTCTGATAAGACCAATTCAGGCGAAGTGAAAAATGCAGCCCACTCCATCCGGGATCCGAATGTGAGACCTACTCAGTTAATTTGGGGAAAATTCAATTTGCTCTCCTTCATCACCTTTAACGAATTAAGGTGAATACATCTCGTACATATTCACCCCATGACGACCCACTGGAATGACTGGCTGTTGACTCGATTTCGACTCTTGTTGGGGATGGGGGTATAGATGAGACCTGGGAGAAGTTAAGACTGCAGTCCAGCCTGAATGTATAGACCCTTTGTGAGTCACGGCTCAGTTAGATTAAGTGGGGATTTAATGTGAGGCAGTACATTATCAGACCTCATTTCACCTTAAACGACGCAGGATGTTTCGAGCATGCACGCAAGTTAAGCCTTGTAAAAATAGAGATTTTAACGTCTCATTATTTGTTCTTTTAGATGTTGTGGTGACTTTTATTTTATGTAGAAGCGCCCGATGAAGAGAATAGTCGGCTAGTCTCGCAGTTGTTCTGCAGGTATTTGATGCTATCATGGCGCTCAAGTTGATGCATTCACCGAGTTGTTATTGTGATTAAAACTTTAGGTTGACACCATGTCAAGAGGACTAGTCTGCTCCATCTTACATACTGTATAATTCTATACTCAATAATAAATCTTTCATGTTATATGCTCAAGTGTGTGTGTGTGTGTGTGTGAATTTGTGTCTGTATGCAAGTAAGTCTGCGTACGAAGCAGCAGTCGTGGATCTTAAAGGTTGAATAATACAATAAAAAAGTGAAATTCCGTGAGTTTGAAGGACTGTTAAACGAATGACTCAACATCGTCTATCTCCTCAAGTCCATCAATCATGAAGAAATAATTCTTATTCAACATCCTACCTCCATTACTGACGTTCGACATATGCCTTAATCTATTCATTGTGATAGCCTTTATTGTCTTGGGTTTTGTAGCGGATGCATTATAATCGACAAACCGATGCTTTTGACGCAATTCTATTTGGTATGTAGTCTCTGCCCTGTCTTTAGTCACTTGAAGCCGTTGAAATCAGCTGCCTTTACATGCATTTTTATGTTCCGTTAACCGCTAGTGAGCAGAGCGGAAGGTCTCATCAGCACAACTGCAACCGCATGGATACACAATCTTGTGAGCAGATTTTAGCTTCGAGTGAAAGTGTTTGTATTCGAGATTGAATCCAACCAGAAAAGTAGGCGGAATCCTCGTAGCCAGCTCTTGGTTGGCCGTACTGGATCATTCTTATTGGCGCTGGCTTCGAAAGAATTCCCTTCGATTCCAGGAAAAACTTGCTGAACTTTTGTCCGTCATGAGGCAAAACTTTCTTACAATCATCTTT